TAACGTTATGAACAAAATTTTCATCCTGTTCTTTAACTTTGTCATTTACGGAAAAACTGACAGATTAGAATGATGTTGTTCTTCCTTAGTTACTATATTGCAGACCAATAATTTCTTCTCTAATATTTAAGGACAAAATGTCTGCAGCTATAAATTTTTTCTGAATGTTCTTGAGTGTCTCGAGTGTTTTTGGCTAACAAGCAGGTTTTATGGCAAATATCAATATTGAAATATTGTGCGCTTATTGCATCGCTGCACGAGTGCACATAAGGTAATATTCATTTGTTACCCGGAGCAGTGCTGTTAAACAGGAATCGCAGTTCCTCCATGTTTAAAAGCGGGGGCAAGAACATACTTTATTGCCCTAATTTCAAACCAAAACGTTTTGTCCGAGAAGAAGTTGGGAGTGAGTAAGGGGGGGGAGGGAGAGTAGTTAGGGGGCATTAGGGTATGGGGGTTGCGAGGTTGATTCGCGTGGTACCTGATCATTACGTCTCTGCGTCCATGTCATACCAGAAGTACGTTGCTTCGATCTAGCAGTATTTCAAAAGATTTTATCGTGCTTCGCGCTTTACCCCGACGATCATTTCCTGTAGAATACAGCACGTAAAAATTGGAATATCTTACTCAAAGAGGCCCCCATTATATAGCTACAAAATTTATGACTAACAAACACGTTCCTTCACTTCCGGCTAATTTCTTAGAAATTGAATACACTCAAATTTAGCTGGAATACTGAATTAAGCTGAATTATATACATTGTTATCTATCAGAGCTATATAAAACTTACTTCTCTCGGAATCTCTGTGCAAGAACGAACACTACATATTCATATTCAAACAAGAAAAGGTACGAGGGAATTTCTTTAGTTAATTATTATATATTTTATTGTTTTCTTACTCAAAGCGATCAACACGTTCCGGCATCAGTATTGCTGTACTTGCGATTTTACTTGCCAAATTTTACTTACATTACATCTCTGCAAATGCAGAGCAAATGAAAGTGAAACTATACCATACCAATTGAGGGAATGATGGATACGTCGAAGCCATGCGACGAGCTAGTGGGTATATAAGGCTGCGTTCAGACTGAGCTGGAGCCCGTCGCTTTTTCTGGCGCCTAAGTTGAATACGACGCTTCCAAATGAATTTGAGCACGGAGCCCAAGAAAGGGCACTACCTCCAGACGTAGTACTCAACAAGGGCACTGTGCTCAGGACGTTTTATGAACCAGTTTTTACTTTGGGCACCGTTGCCGGGCACTCAGTCTGAAGGCAGCCTATGTCGCCGAACTAAATAAATCCGACTCTCTGTTATTCACTGTTTGTTTTATTTACCGTCTATTTACAACGTCACATGCCAAACCTGTCGTTGTTGATGGTTTTCAGCGGCGTTCTATTACCGAAGCAGACGAAGAAGCGCGACGTGGAATGATTGTCTAACGGTTTCAAACTGACTCCAATATAAATATAATGTCAGTTTGGAACGATTACACTTTAATTTTATATCATAATTCATAAACACATTACTATCAACAAAGCCTATGTGACTTCATAATGAAACAACAAGCGTTCTCAAACCTTAATTAGCATGCAGCCAACGATGAAATTAAATTACAAACAATATTTTGGCCTTTAAATGTCAGTTTTTGTAGAAGTTAATGGTCATATTTGCTCCGGCAAAAGCCCCAGAGTTAAAATTGACCGTTTCTTGGCTGTGGAAGGCAAATATAGTCAATATAGGTGGCTGTCAGCTGTTTGTAATTTAGTTACAAACAATTTCGTCTGCTTTGTTTAGTGCAATTTCACTTGCAGTACTAGCTTCTGTGAAGCAAGCGCTACTGAGCGAATGTGAAATTTGTTTTTGTTTCATCTCTGAGCGTCGTCTTGAATACGAACGAATGCTACTCTCAGACTTACGCCCAGAGACACGCATAAAAAATACAGTCGTCAAGTAAAGAGGCAGCTGTCGCCCTAATACAACGATCGTCGGCGAGATACGTAGTCACGTAGAGGAAGGTCCTCTACGTATTAGACGAAGCATAACGTTGAGCCAAACTAATCTTTGAAGACTTTTTTGGGTCTGGAACAGCAGAATTATAGGACAACTGTATTTTTTGGGGATCCTTGCGCGAAATGGAGTTGTGATGTTCGACATTGCCAAAAACTTGCCGTTTCAGTTCAACAATTGCTACTTCATAAACTTGGTCATGATTTGATTTAGCAAATGTTGATATTCTTTTAAAGTAAAAAATGCCTCTGAAGACCAAACCTTAAACCCATAAGAGCAGTTTTTTGTAGTTTTCGCTATTCTTTTTCCTGACATTTTGGTAAAAAGCAGCTAAACGTTTGTCGAGTTCTTCTTTCGACAATCCTTCAAGGTCATCAAGGTCGTTGGGTGGAGATTCGTCTGGAGAAATTTCTTTGCAAAATGCTATAAACCTAGGTGGCCACAGCAAGTGTTCCGAGTGTTTTCTGCATGAATCCTTTTGTTTCTATCAAAAGTTGAATTTCATCGATTGACAAGCTTGAGAAACGTTGTTTTTTATTTGCTATGATGCGGGCAACAATTTTTCACGTGTTTCCCTGACGCAAAACATTGAATTTATTTAAAGTCATGTGACCACGAATGAACCAATCATGCACAATCAAAATATACAACACATATATAACAATGCAGGATAAACTTGGGGATACAAAGTTTGAGTCAATATTTTACCATTTTAAAAAATGTGACTCATATTTTACCATTTTGGAGAATACACGGACATTGTGCTATTGCATCAGCCTCGTATCCTCATATCGTATCGATCAGCATTCAGCTATTGTCGAGCGGGGCGCGATTTAGGAGTTTTAAGAGGTTTCTGTTAATGACATAAAAAATAAACTCATATTCCTTTGCTTACAGTTTTAATAACATTAAATAACGAATTCAACGCGCGATTCAATGAATTTTTTTCGCGCATGACTTTTTTCACGCATATTCTTTGTACTCGATCGAAGCAAACACTGCACGCATATTCTGCATGTCTACTCGATCATAACTAAACGAATGTACGCATTGTTTATAATATATAAAACTAAGCGACACCACACGCATATTCTGTGCAATCGACCAAAATTCAAAACTAAACGAGTGTAGGCATATTCTGCATGCGTGCTCCTTCAAAGTTGAACGACACTGCACGCATATTCTGCGTACGCTATCAAAGCCAAACGACGCCCCACAAACATTCTGTGCACTCAAACAAAACTAAATTAGCATATTAACTTAAACAATATTAATACCAGTTGTGTCTAAGACTATACCAAGGTATTAAGGTTTGTTTATGATAGGACAATATCCAAGTATTCTAGGTTTGGCAAACGTTAACTCTAACCAATCTCGCTGGCGCATAAACTAAAATTTAGCATGCGTAGAAAAGAAACGTGACATTAATAGTTGGTACGTGAGACATATATAATTATTACGTATGCTAATGGTGCAAAAGGAGTGTAACTGCCACTTGGAAACACCACCCGGCGTAGGCGAGAGCGCTGTCTGAGCTGTAAATACGTGATCATATTTGATATAATACGTATAATACGTGATCACGTTTAAAGCTACAGACTAAAGGTCTTCAAGTTAATTATGTATTGTTTTGCAACTGGGGCGATTGATAATGTGCGTGGAAATCTCAATGATAATAATTTATGTGGACATTGATTTGTGCGTGGAAACTTCAACGGTAATACGCGGACTGTTGTTTTTCTTTTAAGTCTTAACGCATATATACTTCATTCTAGAGGTTTTATTGTTTTGTTGCTGATTTGGTTGTGTCCGGATCCCGGTAAAATTATAAATTTCGGTGCTATAATAAACAATTATTGGATGAGGTTTTTGTGATATGCAGAGTTATCAAGGTCGAGGTAAGCAATATAAGCGAATTTTGCGTGATTGCGCGATTTATCTGTCAACAATTAGCCAATCAAATTGCTTTTACTACTATAATGTTAATAATAATAATAAATAATATTAGAACAACAAAAATTATCTGATATACCTAACAAGTACCGCTTCTATATTTTAATTATGTAAGTCGGCACATTGTGTTTGGAATGAACCAATCAAACAAAATGAGAATTGAAAATTTGAGATTATAACATAAGGGCTGAAAGAAGGGAACTTAAACTTATAGCCTAAACATCTAAAGATATGTCTTTTGAGTGTTTTCGTTTGCTTTTCCAACATTAATTTCGCTTTATATACGAACAAAGGCCATTTGTATTTTTACAACAACAACAATGAAAATGGCGGGAAAATTTTTGAAACTCGTTATGTCACTTATATACGTGACATACGGAAAATACGCGCATTGTACCCCGGATGTAGTGGCCTATGAGTTCTACGGGTGTTTTAGTTCTCAGTAAAATATCCCCGTCCGTATAATAATATTTAAAATATTATATTATAATATAACATTATATTTTAGTACGCGCGTGCTAATTGATCGAGAAGCGTGTTTCAATAACTGTATTGAGACTCGGGAATTTTCCCGCCGAACTTGACAAGCGAAGCCGAATGTAATGAGAATTTGTAATTGAGTCGAATTATAATATTTCTACAAAATCTTTTTATTGAGTTACATTATAAAAGAAATAGAAATTTTTTTCCTATGTTTCTATACAGTTATAGAAACACTTGTGGGAGTTTGGGGGAACTAGAAATAACGTGCACTGATTATTTCTCGTTCTCCCAAACTCCCACGCGTGTTTCTATTATAACTATATAGATACACGGAAAATGTTTTCTATATGAACTAGAATTCGTAGAATGGCAAATCTAGGAAATTTTAATGAGCGAGTCATGCAATCTTCAATATTAGGAATGAATTTAGCCAGAATCTCAGAAGCTATAGGAATATAAGAAACAGGAGTTCAAGATTCGTGGAAGTTCCGCCTCTTCTCATTGTTTGTTCTTTTGTTCCTGAATGGTTCCTTTCCTTGAATCCCCAACATGAGCTCCACTTCTAAATTTATTATATCAATAAATTCTTAAACACATCCGAAATTACTAAAACAATAATTTCGCGACGCGTGGCCGAGTGCGCCCATTGGCGATACAGCCTGGTGATTAAATTAATGTAGCGCGAGCAAGATGGCGGAAAGCGAGGAATGCGCGGGAAGTTCACTGTGCGTGGGTAAGTTATCGTTTATTTGCATATTTGAATATTTTAGCATTATCATTTTAATTCCGCTGTTTGTATTTTAACGAGTGACAAAGCGAGATTGTGATATTAACTCAGCTTTCTGATATAAAACGTTGTTATTTTTAAGACAATAATGCATGGATTGATCATTGATGGCTATCCTCGGCGAAGTGTCAGAAAAGCCCATTTATTAACAGCTGATGATTTTATATAATTTAATATCGTTATTAGCATTCGTTTTAGTAGATAGAAGTTCAGTCTTAACGCAGAATGTCAGCACTTATATACTGTGTTCCGTGGTGCCAAGTGCAATTTTCGTGTAGTAACGCCACAGATATTTTTTATACGTTTATACCAATACCTCTGTGAATGACTGCGATCAGAAATTTCAAATTTGTGGATGTTTAGCAAACATATGATCCTCTATTATGTATATACTGTTCCTTCCTAAGTTATCAATGACAATATAAATTATTTGACCATCAAATTTTTCTTAATTTACGGTTTCTGAATGTAATGGCAATTAATATATTAGATTAAGATTCCCTTGTTATTTGCAATTTAAGGGATAAGCAAAAGACAAATTACTGAAGAGCAATTAAGCTTAAAATGTTACAGCTACTACCGAGCAATTAAGCTTAAAAATGTTACGGCTACTATGAACTTTTTATATTTTGCATGCAAATGGAAAATAATTTCATAAATAACTTTATATATGATCCCTAAGACCCCAATAATCTTTTTTGAAGCAAAATGGTGAATCTACACTAATCGTTCATAACAAACTTATTTTCCACATTAAATATAAATGTTTTTTTAGATTCAATTACAGTCAACACCTGTCTTAAAAAAGGGATGAAAGTAAGTTTTTATTATGTTAATTTGCTACGACTGATGAAATCCAGCTAAGTGCCAAGCAAGTCTAGTATGCAACTGTACAGTGTGTGCAGTCTTTCTCAGATTTGCATTGGGTAAAATTGAGTATTACCCAATTTAAAATTACCCAAGTAAATTTAGTATAGCACAACATGTACCATTGCCCCCAAAACCTATGTATGCATTATCAAGTTTATTGGCTTTTAAAATACATGCAGCTACTTATTGACTCTGTCTAACACAAGAGTATTTTACAAGATATGAACAAGAGTGGGGTTTTTTTCAAAATCATGATCAGACAGACTTAGGTTTTGATGAATTTAGCTGTAACAACTAAAGTACAATTAGGCATATCATTGAGCAATGCAAATTAGTGTGTTAAGTCACCTGCAACTGCCATTGGCATTCTTACCTGAAATGAAGTAATTCTTTACCACTCATGTTTCATATACAAGGGCTGTGATTTTATCTAATGACTAACAGCAAATGTTGTGTAAAACCATTTAGTGGCACGTGATTATTGTGCTCAGTTTGCCAACATTACCTGAAAATGAACAGTGTTTTTTATCAAATAGTTCTTAGGTAACATGCAGTTCCTTATTTGTAAGTTTTTAGCTAACCCAAAAATAAAATAAATAGATGTGGTATTTAAACCCCCTCTCTTACTACACTTGCCAACTAATTAAAATAAAAGAATCATAATTGAATTTATATATACCTAGAGATGCTCTGGGTGTGGACTGGAACAAGGGATTGCAAAAAAGGTTTGCAAGAACCAAGGTTGTTCTTTGAGGTTTCCAACAAAAGAGAAGAATTTGGATGCTTTAAAAAATATGAGCAATCCGAACATTACGCAACAAAGGAAGCACATGGAAAAACGAGTATGTTTACAGTACAGCGTCCAAGCTGGGATATCTCAAAGTATGATTTGAGTGCAATTTAGAATTTTTGCACAGTCATGTCCTGGAAGTGAAGCTGTGAAGAATGATTGTAGTGAGGATATTGCGTATGACGCACATGCAAAATAAGTTGAACAGCCAGTTTTATCGGTTTCACTTCCAAGAGTTTAGGAAGTTGTCACATGACTGTGCAGATCCTCTATTTTTTAGGGGCTGTTTACATGAGCCTGGTTACCCGAGATTCAACGAAGTGTGAGATTGTTATGAGGTATTGAAATAAGTCTTTATGAAACCAAACAAGCACATGATATTATGTTATATACTCATTTCAATGCCTCAATGTCGTCTCATGCTTCGTTAAATCCCGGCTAAGTGGGACCATGTAAACAGCCCCTTAGTGTCTCGAAGGCTATAAAAGGGTACGAATCCGAAGAACGAGTGATAATTGCAATTTCTCCTGTTGTTAAAAACTAATTCCACTGTAGTTATATCTAATCAAATTTGAACAATTTACATAGCTATACAGTATATAGTGTAGAGTATTATTGTGTTACTATATAAAGCAAAATCACATTTCGCTGTTTTTCATTTAGGCTGATATTCTGAACATCCACAACAACTGTGATATTGTCATTTTAATGCATCACAAGCATGGAAGTGGCGATACGTTAACTTTCTATGGAACGGAAGGAGCTGGAGTTTCTTTCATCGGAAACAAAAGTACCATAGAGACTTCCGAAGGTGGTCGAGTAGCACTCAATTTATTTAGAAAATTCATTGAAGGTAAATACGAAATGTTATGACGGACAAGCATATGTGCAATACAATATTATTCCTATTCTATTTGCTAGCACCTCACACCAAAGATAAAGTAAATTCAAAAATTCCTTGGCTTTGGAGCAAAAACTACATTGTCAGACAGCTTGTGATGAACAATGGTCCTCTTAGGTTATTTTGTGCATTTTTAATTTTTGCACCCCTTTCGAGTTTCCTGTGAAAGTCCTTAATACCGCCCGAGAGTGCCCGGGAGCAGCTGAGAGCCTGAGAGCGCCCGGGAGTACGCAAGGGTGAATAAATCTATGTGTGATTCCTTTTGAAGATTTTTGACTTCTTTTTTTCAACAAAAACAATGTTAAACATTTCTTCTAAATTTTCTTTCAACGTGGAAGAAAATGGATAGAAGGTCATTTCTATAAAATGGGTTGAAGGTAATTTCTGCGCCAAACTTAAGAGGCGAAAATGATGCTTTAAGAGACAAATTGCTGGTTAATTTAATGTGTTTTCCACCAAAATCACTGCATGGTTGTTAGAATATATAAACTGTTCATCATGCAAGTGATTTCACTACGTATGGTAGCCTTCCCAAATTGTGACAAATTTGTATTTGCATTTGTTTATTTGGTATTAATCAGGTCTTCGCTGTAGATAGTTATATATTTGTCAACATAAAGATTTAAGTGACGTTGTTGTATCTTGGGTATTATTGTTCGTAACCCACGAAGCTAAATTAAACTGGAAGTCAATCGCCAAGAAACAAAAAAACAATGTGTGTTACTCTAGTAGGTTACAGAAGTCAGAAGGGCAGATTTTCTATAGGCGACAACTTTTCAGAAGCTCACTCTGTCTACCAATTTCCGGCTTGTTTTTAGCCAACAAACTTTATATTTACAGAATTACTTTTTTGGGGACACCCTGTATACTATGTTATATTTAAAGTACAAACCAGTGCGTGACCATGCATTCAAATTGCAACAAAAGCTTCACTTCGATAGGGGGTACTTTTAGGGCGGACAGCGCCGGACACAACGTATAGTGCGCTGTTATAATCAACCAATCAACCATTCAAAATCTCCCTTTAGTTGCTAAGAGCCTAAGTATAATTAGTATATGTGCTTTTAACAGATGTTATTATTTTTACCTAAAATTTGGGGGATTTTCTATGTATTTTAGAGTATAAAGAAAAAGAAGGCTTGCAACAACTGCCTGAAAAACAGCAACAAGAACAACCACAGCAGCAGTCAGAAGAACAGCATCCACATGAACAACTTCCACATGAACAATTTCCACATGAACAACAAGAGCAACAACAACGACGACAAGAAGAAGAACAACAACAACAACAACCACCACCACAACATGACTGCCAACCAGAGGAAGAACAACTACTCTCATGATGTCCAAAAAGCTGCAATGGAAAAGCCAGGTTCTCTCCAAGATTCTGGGTAAAAAAGAAGCAAATAATGTTCTCTATGGTGGAATGGTAGCTTCAGAGGAAAATGTTGAGGTTATCGATTTAACCTTAAATCAAAATGAAAGGTTAATTTTGTATCTTTCTTGTAAAAGTTATTTCGATCAAGATGCCTGGTGTGCTGTTGGTTCCAATATACAACATAGATTAGATGCCACTGGAATTATTCTTCCTGTTTACAATGCAACGAAAGACCCGTATTGGCTCTTCTATTTTCCTGGAAAGTTGGATATTGTAATGACTTCAAAATCTACTACAAAAAAACTGGCTTTTGGTTGGATAGTTGTGGTGCACAAAAACATGTGTACCAATTGATGTCAAATGAGACCAAAATATTTGGGAAAAATATTGTTAAAACTGAACATGGACCATTGTACTATATTTGTGATTCAAAGCTTTCCTCTGGTTCCATTTGGAAGATACCCCCAATTTTCAACGATACCATTATCGAAGTTTTGCCTTCACAATAAATGATGTCTGCAATACACATTTTCATGAAAGACAGTGTTTGATCGTGGCAAACAGGGACAAATATAGTACAATATACGAACATAACATCTCTATTGTTATTAAGTTATTAGCTTAAAGTTTCACAAAACTTTCTTTTGCCGTACTTTTGTAGTATCTGTCACATACTTTACAAGAGAAAAAGTCAATGCATGCATGTGCGGAATTGTCCAATAATTTACATCCACAGTTCATAGAATTTGCACATGTTCTTTTGCAATAAAGCCTGAAGTCTTTAGGGAGAGGTTTGCATGAACTACCACCATTGCAAATGCATTTAAACTTAGGATAATTGAACAATGCACAAAAGCGAAAATAGGGACAAAGATATTGCAGGTAGTCAATTGCAAGCTTGCAGTCATCTATGTCTATATTATTCATGCATGTCTTATGCATATAAGAAGCAATAGTAGATTTACTTTTGTAACCATTCTTTCTTGCCACCAATCCCAATGCTATAACTTGGTAAGGGTACATTTTATGGACAAAGTATCTAACCATTTCTTTTAAAGAGTGCATTTCTTTTTTGCTATAGGATGTCTCATTTCTTTTTAGCTTTGACTTCAATTTAGGCAGAACTCCACCACCAGTACAACAATATTGCTCACTTGTGGTTTGTTTTCCCATTATGACATGTTTATCCCTTAGTGAGGTCTCACCCTTCAAATGTTGCCATGCTTTACCCAGTCTTCTTTGCATTTTATTGGAATTTTCTGTATTCACATGAGGTAGTATTGCTGGAGTGAGGGGGTTTTCTTTGATTATTTTCTTTTTAGTTACCTTGCTATCTGATTTGCATTTTTTAGCACATGGTAGTTTGTTGTAATCCTCCATTGAATATATTTTATGACACCTCTTCAGATGTGGTAACAATAACAGTGTTTTTTGACATAGTTTACAAGTCTCCTTCTTTCGGTATTTCATATGATTTGGTGTACCAGTCATTGTAGGTGGCAAAGGTAAATATCTGTGCATTTTTGCTGATAAAGTTGGGTGAATTCTTTTTAGATGTACATCTAGTCGTTTGAGATAACTCCCATATTTTTGGCAACTCTTTACTTTGCAAATTCCTCCTTTAGCCTGCAAAACACATTATAGAACAATTAAATGTAGATGAAAATTTATATCCATTTTGCATGCAATTATAGGCAAAAACTACAAATATAACACTAGATAATGGTGGTCATAAATATGAACTAAAAGGTTTGCAGAATGTATTATACGAAAGGCTATATCTAAAGCTCAATTTAAAAGATATATGAAAGCTCAATAATAAGCTAATTAAATGTTTCATTATCCATGCAATTACTCAGGGATTTCATTCAGTTTACTGAATAATGTGGGCAACAGGGCAAGACAACATTGCTCATTCCTGCTCACATCAATTGATTCAATACTGCAAGACCCTAGTCATTATTATAGATGTGTAACTAGATATTCAAATCTGTGTGTGAAGCTACTTCACACAACTTCTAATTGAAGGCAAAGAAGCCATAGTCCCCATAGATGTTGCTTCAATATAATATATAATTTATAGAACTCTCCTTTAGGGATATATCTTTTAATTCCCTGTGAATTCAATATTAAAGCAAAATTGACATTGTCCAATGAGGACAGAGCAATATTCAATATATATGCAAAGAACTGTGCATATTTTAATAAATAAGATATACGGCAATACAGAAACAACGACATCTTTATCTTATAGCTGTCTTTATAACAATCAATTTATAATTTGAAAAACTCACCATCTAAAAAATAAATAAAGTTTCACAGAGAAACAAATCAGGTATTACAAAACGACGAAGTTCACTTGGATTAATTTAGGCCGGCCAAGCAGTACCAAAATTAGAACTTCCAATTTCAGTGATAAAAATATTATATTTCCTTACATTTCCTTAAACTCAATATATAATAGAGCCTTTCGATAATTACGTCACAACATTACCGTTTTAAATGGATTTAAAGTTTTAGATGGATTTAAAGTTTTACTCTCACAAGCTACGTGGAAAGATGCAAAACATCCTTCTTCAAAACATGCATGAAAAATAATTTTTAATTTTGACCAATAAATGTGGAAATAAGTCGTAACATTAAAACGAGACTACCAGGCAACGACCAGCAGCCTCGTTCTTGTGTTACGGTTTATTTTCACACTTGTTTGCCAAAAAGAAGAATTGTTTTTCATGCATGTCTTGAAGAAGGATGTTTTGCATCTTTCGACATAGCTTGTGAGAGTAAAACTTGAAATACATCTCATTTAAGTTGGTTCTAAATTTAAAACGGTAATGTTGGGATTGGTAAAACGGTAATGTTGGGATGTAATTATCGAAAGGGTCTATTGGTTTCCCCCTTTTAACGTTAAGGCGGAAAAAATAAAGGCCTGACATTCAGGTTAGTTAACTAAGGGAAAAAACATTGGTTTTAATACACCCTAGTTTTACAACAGTTAAGCACCCTGTTACCGAAAGATAACACAAAAACGCACAAAACAGTAAATTAAGAACAAAAACGTGACAAATATGCGAATTTGTCAACATTGGTGTTACTGCATCATTGTTTTACAGCAGTTAGGGCACCCTGTTGCCACAATAAGACACAAAAACGCACAAAACAAACACATTAACAACAAAAACGTGTTAAATATGTGAATTTGTCGACATTGGTGTTACTACATCATAGTTTTACAGCACTTAGGCACCCTGTTACCAGAAGATGGTACAAATACGCACAAAACAGTAAATTGGGAACAAAAACGTCACAAATATGCGAATTTGTCAACATTGGTGTTACTACACCATAGTTTTACAGCACTTAGGCACCCTGTTACCAGATGATGGTACAAATACGCACAAAACAGTAAATTAGGAACAAAAACGTGACAAATATGCGAATTTGTCAACATTGGTGTTATTACACCATAGTTTTACAGCAGTTAAGCACCCTGTTACCAGAAGATGGTACAAATACGCACAAAACAGTAAATTGGGAACAAAAACGTCACAAATATGCGAATTTGTCAACATTGGTGTTACTACACCATAGTTTTACAGCACTTAGGCACCCTGTTACCACAAGATGACACAGAAACGCACAAAACAGTAAATTAAGAACAAAAACGTGACAAATATGCGAATTTGTCAACAGTGGTGTTATTACACCATAGTTTTACAGCAGTTAAGCACCCTGTTACCACAAGATGACACAAAAACGCACAAAACAGTAAATTGGGAACAAAAACGTCACAAATATGCGAATTTGTCAACATTGGTGTTACTACACCATAGTTTTACAGCAGTTAAGCACCCTGTTACCACAAAATGGTACAAATACGCACAAAACAGTAAATTAGGAACAAAAACGTGACAAATGTGCGATTTTGTCGACATTGGTGTTACTACACCAGTTTTACAGCAGTTAAGCACCCTGTTACCACAAGATGACACAAAAACGCACAAAACAGTAAATTGGGAACAAAAACGTCACAAATATGCGAATTTGTCAACATTGGTGTTACTACACCATAGTTTTACAGCAGTTAAGCACCCTGTTACCACAAAATGGTACAAATACGCACAAAACAGTAAATTAGGAACAAAAACGTGACAAATGTGCGATTTTGTCGACATTGGTGTTACTACACCCTAGTTTTACAGCAGTTAAGCACCCTGTTACCACAAGATGACACAAAAACGCACAAAACAGTAAATTGGGAACAAAAACGTCACAAATATGCGAATTTGTCAACATTGGTGTTACTACACCATAGTTTTACAGCACTTAGGCACCCTGTTACCAGAAGATGGTACAAATACGCACAAAACAGTAAATTGGAACAAAAACGTGACAAATATGCGAATTTGTCAACATTGGTGTTATACACCATAGTTTTACAGCAGTTAAGCACCCTGTTACCAGAAGATGGTACAAATACGCACAAAACAGTAAATTGGGAACAAAAACGTCACAAATATGCGAATTTGTCAACATTGGTGTTACTACACCATAGTTTTACAGCACTTAGGCACCCTGTTACCAGAAGATGGTACAAATACGCACAAAACAGTAAATTAAGAACAAAAACGTGACAAATATGCGAATTTGTCAACAGTGGTGTTATTACACCATAGTTTTACAGCACTTAGGCACCCTGTTACCAGAAGATGGTACAAATACGCACAAAACAGTAAATTAAGAACAAAAACGTGACAAATATGCGAATTTGTCAACATTGGTGTTACTACACCATAGTTTTACAACAGTTAAGCACCCTGTTACCACAAGATAACAAAAACGCACAAAAGTAAATTAAGAACAAAAACGTGACAAATATGCGAATTTGTCAACAGGTGTTATTACACCATAGTTTTACAGCAGTTAAGCACCCTGTTACCACAAGATGACACAAAAACGCACAAAACAGTAAATTAGGAACAAAAACGTGTTAAATATGCGAATTTGTCAACATTGGTGTTACTACACCATAGTTTTACAGCACTTAGGCACCCTGTTACCAGAAGATGGTACAAATACGCACAAAACAGTAAATTGGGAACAAAAACGTCACAAATATGCGAATTTGTCAACATTGGTGTTACTACACCATAGTTTTACAACAGTTAAGCACCCTGTTACCACAAGATAACACAAAAACGCACAAAACAGTAAATTAAGAACAAAAACGTGACAAATATGCGAATTTGTCAACATGGTGTTACTACACCATAGTTTTACAGCAGTTAAGCACCCTGTTACCACAAGATGACACAAAACGCACAAAACAGTAAATTAAGAACAAAAACGTGACAAATATGCGAATTTGTCGACATTAGTGTTAATACACCCAAGTTTTACAGCAGTTACACACACTTTAACACACAATGGCAAAAAACGCACAAAACAATCAAATTAACAACAAAAACGTGTTAAATATGCGAATTTGTCAACATTGGTGTTACTGCATCATTGTTTTACAGCAGTTAGGCACCCTGTTGCCACAATAAGACACAAAACGCACAAAACAAACACATTAACAACAAAAACGTGTTAAATATGTGAATTTGTCGACATTGGTGTTACTACATCATAGTTTTACAGCACTTAGGCACCCTGTTACCAGAAGATGGTACAAATACGCACAAAACAGTAAATTGGGAACAAAAACGTCACAAATATGCGAATTTGTCAACATTGGTGTTACTACACCATAGTTTTACAGCAGTTAAGCACCCTGTTACCACAAGATGGTACAAAACGCACAAAACAGTAAATTAGGAACAAAAACGTGACAAATACGATTTTGTCGACATTAGTGTTAATACACCCAAGTTTTACAGCAGTTACACACACTTTTAACACAATGGCAAAAAACGCACAAAACAATCAAATTAACAACAAAAACGTGTTAAATATGCGAATTTGTCAACATTGGTGTTACTGCATCATTGTTTTACAGCAGTTAGGGCACCCTGTTGCCACAATAAGACACAAAAACGCACAAAACAAACACATTAACAACAAAAACGTGTTAAATATGTGAATTTGTCGACATTGGTGTTACTACATCATAGTTTTACAGCACTTAGGCACCCTGTTACCAGAAGATGGTACAAATACGCACAAAACAGTAAATTAAGAACAAAAACGTGACAAATATGCGAATTTGTCAACAGTGGTGTTACTACACCATAGTTTTACAGCAGTTAAGCACCCTGTTACCACAAAATGGTACAAATACGCACAAAACAGTAAATTAGGAACAAAAACGTGACAAATGTGCGATTTTGTCGACATTGGTGTTACTACACCCTAGTTTTACAGCAGTTAAGCACCCTGTTACCACAAGATGACACAAAAACGCACAAAACAGCCAAATTAGTATACTTTCATATACCTTTAGTTAGCAATATATATAGAACTTGACATAAGTAAATCCTCATATCTGTTTATAATTTCCACGGCCAAAAAATTGTTGCCTTGACAAAGATATTATATTTTAATAAGTCAAAATATAATATACGACTTCAAAAGGGTATTGTTCCAGGACGCCCTTAACTTTACGAAACAAAGTTGATTTTGTACAGAATTCAGAAGTTGTGTTTAAATAATATAACGACTTTTTAGGATTTAAAGCGAAGAAAATAACTTTACGAATTATAACATTTTACAACAAGCACGAATAATTAGGGACGTATCGACCATCTTAGGTGTCAAACTCCCATTCGGAATAGATACTCTCATTGTCGTTATCAGTGTCACTGTCGGTTTCACTATCCATATCAAAATTTGTATCTCTTTCCAGCTCATCCTCCACATCTTCATAGGATTGCTTAGTATTGTCATTGTGCGACTCAATTATGTCCTGGAATCCAGACAATTGTAAACCGAGAACTGGCAAGAAAGATTGGATTCCAAGCCTTAATTGTTGCATGGCAAAGTTAATTCCTTCGTTAACCAAGGCAAGCTTTCCTCTGACAATGGTCCTTTTGACTGAGCTTGTAGAATAGGTTTTTGCCTAAAAAAAAAGATTTCAATATACGTTACATAAAAAGCAATCGCATAGCTTACAGATGTGGCTTACAGAAATGTCGAAAAGGAAATTGCGGACCTAAATAACTTTTAAATTATCGCATCTTCGCATTAGATACACACAATTAACACCCAATAGACCTTCCAAGAGCTTACATAATGGCCAAACAATAAAAAATGTGCGTCCATGAGAAGGTATGTACGGCGTAGGTTTTTAGCTTTTTGATACACCATGCATGTAATGCAGTATAATTCCAACCATAACATTTTGCTCGTATACAAGAAACTTCGTGCTTCGTGAAGATGGTTACAATATGGTAGCTGAAATGTTCACTGCATGATTCAGGATATGGGCTATCCACAAATATGCATAAATTGTACTTCATCACCCTTTAAACCTACAAAGTAATTACCGCCGAAAAACATACCACACACACAGCACTTTCCACCGCAAGAACAGGCTGTTCACCACCACATTGGCTGCGACTTTTACCTATATGTTCGAAAATTAAAAATAATTTTAAGCCTGGTTTTCAGATGTCAAGGGCCACCGACACAATAACCATCGTCAAAGAATTACGTTATATGAAAACCAGCCTTTACACCTGCAATAAAAATTTGGATCTGTTGCATTTAGCCGAATAGACTGCAGTTCAGTCAAGGTTATATTGCTTATGTTCTTTGACGCGCAGCTCACAGAGTTTAAAAACATAATTTACATTTTTCCAATAAGGACAAAAGCTTTTTGCAATCGATCGCTGAAAACATACTCTATATTTCACAATTCTAAAAGTGACCGGGAAAATTACCTTGCAGCAGGTTTTCCAATTTTGCAAGTTCGCTATAAAGTGCCGGAAGGCATTTCTTGGTGTAATATTCAAGGTATTGGAACATTTCCTTTTTAGTAACTTCGATTTCCTCCTGAAACCGTTGAATTTCCATCAACTTATCCACCACAGATCGTCTCGTTACCAAAGGCACTATTGTATGAAAGGCACAATATATTCATATATAATGTACTACGCGTCCGGCAATTTATAATTATGTACGTACAAGTTCTATTTGCAAGCCTGGCTCAGTCTGTATACGAGAAACAGTAGCTACTCACACTCATCAACTGGCTCGTTCCGAGAATTCCATGGAAACTTTCCATTTAAAATTTCTTCTATGTTGCTTAGCGGTTCGTCTGCAATTCGATTATAATTTGAAATCAAAGAATGGATACTCTCTTTCTCTTTGCTGATCTTTCTCCTTAACTTATTTCGTTGCTTCGAAGAATCTTGAAGAAAATAATATTTGGTTAAAATGTTACCTTCCCTTTATCCCGCATGTGGAGGCTAATTTTCCGCGGTTTCGTTTTTTATGGGTGTTTTACTCGCACGGAAACGTTGGCTTTAAATGTTACTACTGAAATAAAGGAAGAGACACTGAAAATGTAGCTATTAAATGTAGAACCACCTGCAAGTTTTGCAATGTTAAATGCCAGATGAGAGATCGCGTTATGATGGAATTCCATATTGTATCTCAAATATTCCAAAGATTTATTTTTTAAAACACCTTCACCAAAGGAATAATTGCGACAGATCTTGGGCTGAAACTGTTTAGATTTTTCCTTATAAATCTTTTCAGCAACGTCAAACAAGGCCTTCTCTTTTGGCGTTAACACATCTAATGTGAGCAAATGACATATGTATTTCATTTCCTCCGGAGTTATGGAATATCTTTTATTTCTCGATTTTTCATCCACTGACATAAATTTGAAAGAGAAAAAAGAAACACGTCGTCATTGCACGAAAAAATTACACCAAGACATCGCATTCTGAGAAGAGCATACCTAACGTTTTTAGTTTTATTATTTATAATAATAGATTCGCCACAGTATCATGTACTGCATGTAAACTGAACAAAACTACACAAAATTCTATACGTACGTTTAGCAGCGTCAAATATATCTTCTTTCCATTTCTGTAATGTTGTTGGATCACACTCAAGTTTCTCTGACATGCTTTCTAATTCTTTCTGCATGATGGCGGTTTTATCTTTAGCCTAGAACCATGCATATAAAAGTACAGAACACATTATTATTTTTCCAAGAGAAGATTATACATTTCAGTACTCCCCTTTCCGTGCATGGGAAATTTGCATTGCATCTACATATTTTTCAATCCTCCACGCTTTAAATTTCTACCCACACCTTTTTTTTTAATAAATTTGTTTCTGTCTTATTTTTTGACGAAAACTACCGAAACGGATTTGGCAAAGTATTTGTAGCTATGTTATGTGACAAGGGGGGATTTCGTTTTAAACTATTCGGCATATTTGCTTACACTTTTTAGGCTAAGCCAATCAGAATGCCTAAATTTTTAATACATCATGTAAAGATGATTATTCTGATTGGGTTACTGAAAATGTAAACAAACTTACTGATTGGTCTAAAACGAAATTTCCCTTGTTATGGTTTCCCTTGTTATGGTATAGTTACTATTACTATTAGGTAAAAAATAGAAAAATTAATAACTTTTGTATATCTTTTCGCAAGAATACTTGACAGTTTGGTTATTTTTCTTTTATTCCACTCCAGTGCATGTTCAGTCAGCAATTCCTCTCGTCCTATGTATGCATACATCAGAATTAAACGTTTAACTGGTTTGATAATTTTATTGCACATGCTTACCTTCAGGTAACATATGCTTGGTAGTGCACCCTAACCGCGAGAAATGACTGTTAATCTGTTCTACTTCCTCTCCTGTTGTTGCAGAAGCGCCATCTTGCCATCGCCCTCCCCAAATAACCTGCAAAAAAGATTACACAATGGACACTGCACTTGACTGCACACTTGCCACGTACGAAATATAATAAGCACAAGGAAATTTACCTGGCAATACCAAGCATGTGCTTTGGCATGCATTACGGAAAGAGCAGGTTTCATCTTTTGAGATGTGGTTACATCATTTTTACACAGCCAAGGCCAATACTTGCAGATGACATCATACCAGAAGAATTGTGTTGTACGACGAAGGTAATATTCCTTTTGCATATAATGTGCATAGCCATACACTTCTCCGTGCTTCATGCTAACTGCATGCTGGGCAACACTGTGACGACAGCCAGCAATTTCTAGCCCAGTTTCATCAACAATTTTCTTTTTCTTCAAAGTATTTCCAGCAGCATGCCAAATAGAATCGCCACACTTAGAATCATCTGTGACCTAGGGTAAAGTATAGCCGAATTGAAACAGCTCGATTTTAGATTATTTTTATACGTACAGTAGATCCACTTGGTATAAAAATAATCTAAATATTTGTTACAAATCATAGCATTACGGTCAGAAACTTCCCACACCAAATGTCACACATTGATATTTAATGGGACTATTGTTCTATAATTGTTTTGAGGTAAACGAAAATTCGTATTGTTTGAGAAGACAAATTGTAACAATACCTTTTCCTTTCCTTTTTTGTAAATTTTACAGAGATGATGTTGAACTTTTTCATTTGAAGCAATAAAAGCATCTCCATAGTAGCAATCTCTTTTCCTGCTAAATAATTTCAATTTATCCTCTTTAAAACATACATGATGAAATAACTTTGAAACTCTTTCTAGGTGATATACAAGACGCATTTCAGTTGTATATGAGCTGACGATTTCCCTCCAAGCTAGTGCATTCCTGCAATGCATCGTCTGTGATTCAGTGTACAAAATGTACTTACATCCCAGCAGATTTGTACCGATAAAGTTTCATGTTACCATCCATGTGAACGGAGTGTTGCTGCTGTTCACATGCAGGGCACTCCATCCAGTTAATATGCCGTAGTTTGTTCAATTCATATTGGCAATATTTCCATTCACGAAAAGAGCTACCAAATGTTTTGCTGTTAATTGTTCCCATCTATATAAAAGATAGAGAAAGATACATCAAACTAATATCTGTACAACTATTTAACTACTGAGGCAATTAGCAAACATAATCATAAAAGAACAGGATTCCATTTTTTGCATGAAGCGATACATTGAAGTTGATACTTAGAAGTTGGTTTAAACGTACCCGCCCTTTTTGTATCGAAAACATTTCTAGTGATTTCACAAAACTATTTTGAGAAATTCCAGGAACAATCTTCTGTAAATTATCCCAGAAATGAAAGAGATCTTGGTGAAATACATATGTCATGTCACGAATAGTTCCAGGCCAAAACCCCAGCTGTATTAAAACATGGGGACTTGTTGATGAAATAACATTGTCACATTGTTTACATTCATATTTTGTGTGACTAATGTCGAATCTACCTGAAGATATAATAATAAATATTTAACCAATTAGCACAAAAATATAAGTTTTGAGTTCCATGATAGAGATCAACATTTGGCCTATAAAGCCTATCTGAATAGCATCATCTGGTTTGAATCTTGCAGGAGCTAGGTTCAGCCTACATAATGTATCATTTATAGCTACAGTATAAAACTATAGAATCTATTTCAGAAAGACAATGTTTTTGTGAATAAAAAAGACAACTAAAATAGCATACCTTTCAATGTTACAGCAATGCAACCCATACCCTTCTCATCATATAAAATATTGCAAGGAAATAGGCATGTGGGACAAATAACATCACCAAATGGAAGGGACCGTTCTAAAAATACATAGACAATTCATATATTTTCAGAAACTGTTTGAAGAACCCTCTAAAAATGGCAGAACTTTCCTACCAAGGGAAAACATTATCTCACACCTAGAGTTTCACAAAGATGCTGAGATAATACAAAGATAATACTGACTGGTCAATTTTTTTTACAAATTTCATGTGACAAATATGTTTCTGTGTTTCTTTATTTGAAAAAGACCTAATAAAATTTTTTATGAGAAAATTTGCCAATGAATATTTACTCATGTAAAATGAACTTTAGGTTTGACATAAATGCTAAATAGATCATGCTAAATTTCATATTTAAAGAGCATCTTGAGAGTATCACGGTCACAATGCACCTTTTGACACAAGGTATAAGTTACATCTTTTTAGCCATGCTATAATATTTACCAACAGTAATCCATTCCAGTTTGCTGTTAATTGAGGCTGTTGGAGGAATAGGTTCATGAAAACCATTCAAAATTGCATCTCGATCATGAAATGGATGGTTCTTATGGTTCTCCTCATCACAATCCCCACAGACATATCTATGTGAAATGCAGTCTTGACATCCAATAACTGCCATGGCATCTTTACAGCTTTCGCATAACAATTCATCAAAAATGCCAATGGAAAATTTAGTTTGCAGCAAAACTTCGATTAAACTACTTCTGACTTCCTCCCAGCTTTCATAAAGGGAATTTTGTCTTTCATGCCAGGTTCGTTTCTTTTGCTGACCACCACATTTCCAGTTACATAATAATCCTTTTGCTTCTTCAAGGATATCATTCATTGTCACATCTAAACAAAATCGATGATACTGCTTTAAAAATGAGCTGCTAGGTAGAATGCCACAAAATCATTGTACACCATATTACACCATTAAGTTTAATATACATTCGATAAACCAAGTTTTGTAAAGTAGCAGGGTCTTTAAATTCCAATATATAAATGCATAAACAGTATCCATATTGGAAAGTTTGCAATATGTGTGAATGATGAGTCACAATCTTCCCTGCACACAGCCAATCTAGCAATGTGGCAGCATGTGTATAATGTCTAGTCAGTAGTCACAGAGGACACAAAGCTATACGAACGTTGTTTAGATAATAAATATTGACTTTTAGCACATCATATTTTACAATAGCGGTTCAAAATGTCAACAAAGCGGATTAAAAACTTCACAGCATTTTTAGCTGTTGTAATTGTACATATTTATATTAGATCCATACCCTCTACAGCGTTTGTCGTTACATCCATATCTGATTCACGATCCAATAAACTTACTTCTGGTGGTTCTTGTTCTACGTAAAAAGTGACAAAATAATAAATCATCCGAATGATGGGACCTATCTGGCGTAGGTTCTGTGTAAAATGTTACAAACAGAAGCATACCTTGGAAAATATTATCGCTGTGTTCCTCTAAGTTTTTTGATCTTGAACTAGAGGCGGTATCATCGCGATTATAATACTTTGGATTGTAAGTATTTTTGCAACTCCGTTGGCCAGTTTTTGGATCCGTGCTATACTCATAATGAATAGGCTTTCTTCTCTTTTTTCGCTTTTCTAAAATATCATTACCTTGCCTAATAAGACAATCCATGGAAGGGAGTTTCTTCTTGCGAGCATTGGCAGCCCTTTCAAAATTCTCCGCCATTGTGAAAGATTTGAGTTGGTTTTGACCCAGTTTCTTTCCGTTTCATAATGCTCGGCCACGCGTCGCGAAATTATTGTTTTAGTAATTTCGGATGTGTTTAAGAATTTATTGATATAATAAATTTAGAAGTGGAGCTCATGTTGTGAATCCCTGTTCCTGGTTTTAGTGTAGCATTATTTGTTTAGTGTTTTGATTATTGCCTGAAACAAATTGCATAATTTTTATATGATGAGAGATATACGATGACGTAGTCGTGGGGCCCGGTAGCTATGTGGTTTTGCGAAGACCTAACGCATATTAAAGGCTTTACGTCCATAATTGCTTAAACTTCAAAATAATTTCTTGCGACTCACTTGACTGAAGTGCAATTCGGAGCTTTGACTCTGATATCACTTTTACTTATAATTATAGAGCTGATGCAAGTATTGCATAAATTCAATAATCGAAAAACAACATTTGACGTTCAGGGCTTGGGAATTTGTGCTCTTTTAATGTTTCCAAGATTTTGGTATAGTCAAGTATTAACAGTGACTAAATGCAGCAGAAATACTGGTGATTTTACTTCATCTTTACAATTTGTGTTTGATTCCGAAAAATTTGAAACAACAGCTATGGCCTTATTTAAGTCATTTCATAATAATTGTAAGCTGAGAGCTAGGGTAAGGTTTGGCTAGCTCAGGAAATATTTTGCTTCGTTTAAAATGGCAAGGGGATGCTGGATGAATGTATTTCTAGTAATATTATTTCCCGGACTGGCGAGAGTCATGTTTCATGAGAGATATGAGAGCCATGTTTTACAGAAGCATGGAATGCCAACATCAGCTTTGAGCACCGGATGACGAACTTTATCACTTCTTCTTTGAACTTCAGCATTTTCGGTGCCAAAGGACATGTTATATTAGACTCTTGATAAGACGAGACTTGGTACAATTCAAATTCGTTGCCACTGAAGCTGACAGGTGAACCATGACCAATGGCTGTGTTAGTTGGCATCTGAAGGTATATTAGTAATCTTTTTACAAATGCCGGTATACAAAATTTTATATTAGATTTTGTAATCTAAAACAATCTATGCAATTTCGAGGATTATTTGTAAGGATCTCAATCACTATACAGTTTGACAAGTTTTTTTGAAGCAGATTTGATCCATCACTGGTACTTTCGACAAGACAGTCGATAGGAATATACTTATGATTAATAAATCTGAATCCGCGTGATCGACAAAATTGTTCTAAATACTGATTTGTAATGGGAATCTTCGTACTCAAGGAATGACCATTATTCGCACTTGAAAGGGTAATTTTAGATGCTGGTGAATAATTGTTAGCACGATCATAAAAAAACGTTTCGCGCGAGTTTCAGTATCTTTTCAGGATTAGACATATTTTGGCTTTGGCGGTCTTGATGATCGCACTATGTGTTTGCATATCCATATCGGTTGGTTGAAACTTTTCCTCAGTGTGCTTCTGTCGCGATAACTAGTTATCTGGTCGAACGTTGGTCTCTGTTGTCTCTTCTCTGGGCAGCCGCTTTATTTTGTCAGACGCTTAAACGATGATCGAACTCAAACGCATGGTCGACTTCCTCGTCTGATGATTGACTCTCATCTGAATCGCTATCCTCGCTGCTATTGTTTGCATTCAAGCCCGGTTCGGGTTCAAATTGTTAGGGTAATACCTCTTCTACTTGGTTATCGTGGATACTTTCCATTTTTGAAATCGAAAAGTGCTAAATACTTCACTAGAAGTTCGAAATGGCTATATGCGCGTATAAAATATATATGTTGTTTTGATCTACCCTGCACCTGACGTCACAAGTGTCAAGTTACCAAAAGATAATTTTTTTGAAAATCGGTCCAAGATGGCGGATGGACTGAATGTTTACCATAAAATAACTCGAGAACTAAACAGTTTTGGTAAAAAATAATACCATATTCGTAATCAGGAGGTCAAATTTACCTTATTGCAAGCATAAAAAAATTTATTGCCAATACCCTTTAATATTAAAAGTGTGATGCATTGCTTTCATCCGTGACGTCACGTCACTCATGTGATTCTTATTAGACCGGAACTGAGTCAGTGAGTTATAAGGAAGTCTATAAGATAAGTGAATAAATACACTTTAAACATACAGGATTTCAATCCACAAATGGTCGAATCGATCCATCCAGTGATGCCATACATATTCTGAAGTAGTCAAAGGTATAGTAGGTGGGATTTCGTCGACAAAATTTGTGTTATTTGGCATCTTAAAGTGATGCTAGCTGCACGCTGCTTTTATTGTTGTACTCAATATGATGTAATAAAATATTTGGTTAATCTGTTTTAATACCTTGCTCAAATGCCTAGCTTCAATGCATAAAAATAATGTCTGAATTGAAGATGCCTATTTCGTCGTGGAAGAGCACTTTTGTTTTGCTACCGAGCACGCAGTAACTCGCGACTGTCTTGTGCAATTCGTGACTACATGCTTATGCTCTTTTAGGGCATGTAAAAATTTTATAATATTAATATATAATTATACCTTCCCACCAATGAATGCGCGTAAACCATATATTAAATATGCGTAAGCTAAGGACCTTAGTTGTACTAAGAATGTCAGTTTTCCACTTGCTGAGCGAATTTTTGTTTTGTTTAATGCTATAATATATTTATGATAAAAGCGAAACTGCGTATCCATGTTTGAATTTAAAAAGACTAGGGAGAGTTTCAACCTGTGGAAATCTGTGGACACTTGCAGTATGGGGCTAAGGTGAGCATTAAAAATCCATTCCTTGTCCGAAAGGCAGCATTAGAAAATAACTTTAGCTGGTGCTATTATTGTAGAATATTCTGCTGTTCTACACTCGATCAGATATAAAATATTCATTCCGATACATTTTTCCGCCTTTGGGCTGATGTTTTAACCCTGGTGAAATCTCGATTTCTGACTATATTGGTGTACCATGTATAATGATTTTGAAAAAGATATTGTGACAAAGAAGACGTTTGCTCTGGCCAATACGCAAACGGCCTTTACCATCATCTTGCTTAATCTTAGTCGACAATCGCTCCTTCTCCGATGCCTGTCTCTGCAGCGGTCGGGCGGACGGTTGTTGCAGAATTCGCTGGCTTCTTTCAACGAATTTATCTGCACGGCTGGTTCAACACTCTCATTACGTTTTAAAGATTTTATTTAACACAACACAATACTATGCTTACAACAATCCTAAACCTTCTAACTAAATTATCGTTCATCGTGACATTTTATAATTTCAGTCCGGAAACCATATACCTACATATCATTTATCGTACAACACATACTTAAAGTACTTGGCTTGGCTTCAGATAATTATGACGACCTTACAATTATCTCTGACACACATATATATCAAAATTAATTGGAAAAAGATTATATTTACTGGACATGAGCATTACACAGACATTTTACAAATACAACACATCACGCCACATATATGATTATTATAATAAAAATTAAAGACTATAAACTGCTATAAACCCCACACTGTCCCTCCCCCCTTGACTCGCCTAGGAGTCAAGCATCGCCTTCGTTTTCCACCTTGCATCAATCGTGGCCCTCCTTCTTTCACGTTTCTCTGTAACTCCAACCTTTTCCTTGCACAAACTCACCTCACCATCCCCTTTGACCACATCCCCTCTCTTCACTTCAACCGGGTACAAATGCTGACACGGCCTATTTAAGAGTTGCCTTCGACCATTCGTCATCACATACACCTTAGCACCACGTACAACCTTATTCTTCCCAAGAATGAACTCCTCTACAACACCCGTTTTCCACTCCCCCCGTTTTTGTCCTGTGCAAACACAATAACCACATCTCCAGGCTTCACGTCCAGAGATCCTTTCCAAGGCTCGCCAGCTTTGTGGAACTCTCTTAGATTTTTAAGATATTCCCTTTTCCACCTGTTCCAGAAATGTTCCAAGATGGTACTCAAGTATTTGAAGCGTACAATGCTATTGCCCTTGGTAGAATCATGTCCTAACTCTCTAACCTCTGCCTCGGTGCTATCTGGTAGTGTAGTAATTCGTCTACCGTAAACTAAATGCGAAGGTGTAAGCAGTTCATTGCTTACCTCGTCATACTCGTATGTCAGCGATCTTGAGTTTAGATTAGCTTCAACTTCAACCAGAACCGTCCTCAATTCATCAAATGTGAGCCTTGAATTTCCTAAAACTTTCCTTAAAGATACTTTAAGACCTATTAGCCTTTCAAAGAACCCTCCCCACTATGGGACCCTTTCCAAATTGAATCTCCAGTCTATTCCCTTATTTGCTAAACACGTTTTAACTTCTTCACTTTCAAACAAATTGCGCAATGCCTTTTTTGCAGCTTTAAAGGTTTTAGCGTTGTCCGAAATCATGATTTTTGGCGTCCCTCTTCTACCTGCAAACCTTCTAAAACAACGTAGAAATGTAGCCGTTTTCAAATCTTGCACTAACTCCAGGTGAACCGCCCGGGTCACGCAACAAGTAAATAGCACGATGTAAACCTTACTTGCGCCGCTCTTTGTTTTAGCAAACAAAGGTCCTGCAAGATCTACGCCTGAATTCTCAAATGGTGCTGCTCTTGTGACGCGAAATTCTGGCAAAGCCGCTTGCTGTGGCTTTGCGCACGCCTTGCTATTTCATCGTTTGCAAATTAGACATGCATTTATTACTCGTTTCACCTCTTGTCTGCCCTTCGCTACCCAATACCTTGACCTGAATTGAGCTAACGTTGACCTAACTTCATTATGCATAACTGACTCGTGACACTGAGCTATGACTAACTCTGTGAACTTATGCTTTTTGGGCAGAACTATTGGCTCTTTAGCCTCCATAACTAACTCAGAGTTACCTAATCTCCCTGTACAGTAAAGTATCTCGGCCCTCTCTACCAACCCGTACTGTCTCTCCAACTGCTTATACTCTTGCTGATCTTTTAAAACTAGCTGCGCTGCCTTAACCCATGCTAACTGTGCATTTCTCAATTCACTCGCTTCCAACGTTCCACGAACTACCTTTCTGCCTAACATTTCCTGCCTCAAGTTGCCCACAAATCTCTTCACCCAGGGTGTCACTCTCAGCAGCCTTTTGAGGCAATTGAACCTTTCTAATCTGATTAATTAAATTGGAAATGCCAAACAATGAATCTGTATTGATCAACAGGCTGATACTAAATGACTTCTTTCCTTCTACTTTACTTTCTGATGTTGGAACCGCTGTTTCCAAACTCGGCCAGTCAGCAGGATTACCCTTCAGCCATGATGGCTCTGACCACCAAAGATTGCTATTTTTAAGTTCGGTAATCAAAACGCCCCTCGACCCAAGATCTGCGGGATTTTCTTTACCTGGGCAATGACCCCAATCGCTCTTTGAACTTGTTGTCAAAATCTCGTCCACTCTGTGCTGAACGAACTGCTTCCAGCTGCCTGTATTACTTATCCAACACAATACCGTTTTGCTGTCCGTCCAGTATCTCACGCCTTCAAACTTGTACTCTAGTTCTAGCGCCTTCCTAACTACCTCCATTAATTGCGCCAAAATCCTAGCTGCCATCAACTCTAGTCGGGGTATACTAAGCTCTTTAATCGGAGATACTCTAGTCTTGCTGGCTACTAACTAAACGTGTGCCTTGTCGTTCACAATGGTTACAAGATAAATAACCGCACAATATGCACGTTTGATGCATCCCCAAACCCATGTAACCAATACTTTGCTACACCTGACCGCCCTAAACTACTTTCTGACACGCTCGCATATCTTCCGACTTTCACACATTTTGCTGCACTAAAATCTCTCAACCATTTCTCCCATCTCTCTCAAGGTCCTGGTCAAAACATCATCCCAATCTAAATTACTGATACATACATCTTGAAAGAGAATTTTAGCTATGGCAACGGTCGGACTCATCAGTGCTAAGGGATCAAAAATGCAAGCTAAAAGACTTAAAATATTTCGCTTAGTAGGCTCTAAATTCTGCGCTTTTTCAATCAAGTGATCAAAATCAAATCTAATTAAGTCGTGCACGCAATCCCATTCCAATCAAAGTACCTTGCCAAACTGACCTCCGGTCTGGCACGCAAGCATTTCCTTCGCATATGTTTGCTCTTCGGCCTCTTCTGCATTCTTATCTAAATTGTCGGCGTCTTTTGCTATTCGCGACCCTAATTCACTGTTATTTGTGTGCCATTTTCGCAACCTAAAACCACCTTCTCTCATGCGCTCATTGGCCTTAGTATATAACAAATAGGCACATTCTGTGCTACTTTCGCCAGTAGCCAAGTCGTCGACATAAAAACTTCTCAGTAGTTTATCGACAAAAGCCTTATCATGCATTGCATACTTACTAATATGGTGCCTTAACGTCGCATTAAAGCCTGGTTTCCATTTAGTTGTAATTGTGGTGAACATGTCATTTTCACCGATGTGAAATTGTGGGGATGTAGATTTGTCTTCATTCCTGTATTCAAATCTGTCATTGTTGACTGCACACGTATAGAAATATTCTATCACATCAGCCACCTTGACATGTTCACGACACTCACGACTAAATGGAAACCAGGCATAAGCAAGAACGGTGACGAATTTACACCAAACACGACCCTACAGAAACGATAAACTACAACATTTAAGTTATTGCGCAGCACGTCATCTACCCATAAAAACCTTAGACTATCACGATCCCTTTCGTGAACTTCAATATTTAAAAATGCTGTTTCAATGTCCGCTACGAGCGCTACCTTTTGTTCTCGAAATCTAAGCAGAATATCAAAAAGAAGTGGGTTAAGCGAGGGGCCAGCATGTAAACAATCGTTCAATGAAACACCAGACTTTTGCGACTTTAAACTGGCGTCGTATATAATTCTGACTTTCGTTGTCGTTGCGTCTTTACGCACAACCGCTTGATGTGGTATGTAATGTATTTTTGACTTTGGACTTATTACTATATTAGGGCTTACCTTTTCAATAACACCTGCTTCCTCTTGCGCTTTTATAATGGAGTCATACTCACCTAATAAGACTGGATCTTTGCTGAGGTGCTTTATCTGTCCTTTCATACGCTTAAGACTCAATTCATAATTAGTGGGCAAGGGATCCTGGCTTTCTTTCCAGGGTAGACCAACTGAATAACGTGTACCATTAAACTTTAAGTCACTAATCACTGATTTATGCACATCACTACTCTGATCTATTATTCCTATGCTCTCTAGATCCCAAAATTTTGTAATATCTACCGAAGGGTTTCGCACTTCGCTAGAAACCTGAGCAGTAACTGGTTCCGCATCAGACCCTCTGATCGGCCCAGAAACCACCCATATCTAAGAACAGTATCTGACGCAACGGGTTCACCTGGCTTGCCACGTCTAATACAATTCCCTTGCAACAACCATAAATAATCTGCACCCATAAGAACACCAACCTCTAAGTCCTCATTTGACTTACAAACATCAGACAACCAAAGATCTTTCGCATATTATTTCCAAGTAAATACGGAGATTTGAAGAAAAATAGCGGCTAAGAAAATTGTGATTGTTTAGGAATTACTGTCGTCCGGCTTTGCTGCGCGCTAATAGATATTATTAATTAGTTTATAAAAGACGCGCGTGGAAATATGTTTGATTTCAAGACGGAATTTTATATATTTTTACGGCCAATCCACTTCCATGTTACATACCGTTTGAAAGCGCGCATTACTCTCCACTGAATACAAAAGTTCAAAGGATTTCTATGGAATCAGGGTTGAGAAAATTAGGAAATTGTTCTTTGCAGCTCGAATTACAAAATTAGCGATAAAAATGTTGGTACAAAATCTCATTTTGGGGCTCATTTTACGTCGATTCTGTCTGTTTTGTTACAACGTATAAAGTTTAAACTCCAATTGATCGATTTAGTGCATTAATTCTTTTAATAAATCTTTGGAAAGGGAAGTTTTAAGCAACATTTGGCTTTCGAACGTTTGAATGATGGAAATGAGTCATATACGTGTTTTTGAAAATATATCCTGTTGATTAGTATTGTTGAATGTCGTGTTCAATGTGTTGTGGGAATTCCCTTTTACTGTTGTAAATGTTTTGCCGGGATATGTTCTAACCTTGGATTTTCGTTATAATCAGGAAAGTGGAATTTATTCCAGCGAGTATTGCGTAAGTTTATAACAAATTTCACTTGGTGGAAATTAGTGGGAAAATGCCACTAACATACTATATATACGACAATTTAGGCCCTGTTTACACTATACCGGATTGCGGAGTAGGTCAAATTTTGTAGCTATTAAAATAAAAGGCAGTAAAAAGGTTTACTGTTAGAGATCAAAATAAATATACGAAATATATCAAACTATAATAAACATTTGCTACTAACGATTGCCCTATAAAAGACAAACGAAGATATCGTGACAACGGAATCCGGTATAGTGTAAATATAATGTCGTGTCAATAACAGACGTTTCTTTGTTTCAGTAGATGATGACATCCGCTGAAATATTTTTTTAAATAGAACTAAAAGCAAGCTACATATCTTACGATAATACGACCATATTAATATATCATACGTGTACAGTGCTTTAATGAATAAAATGCCTGAAATACCGTACGTGCGGTGAAATTTAAGTAACAGGAAGCTATAGTATATAGCAATGAGTATATTCTCATTCGTCATTACTTGGCAAAACACCGGTACCAGTCACAGCGAAATATTAGATTATAACAATATATGAAAAATTTTAAAACTGGAAGCCCGGAAATTTGAGATTTGAGCGTACTTTTCATGATATATTTATTACAGAAATGGGAGTAGATCATACACATGGATTCCATTGGTATCATATTTCCCTTGCGAGCATTTTATATTTCACAGTTAAAATTAATTTTAAAGCAAACTCCGTTTCATAAACTTACAGCTTTTAAAACTAAATGGATAAAGCTTAGGAAATAATTCAGGCAAATTTCTAACGACAGTAACGACTTTGGGACTTTACTATTACCAGACCAGCCTTATTAAGAAAACAAGACGCCCGGTAGGCGTTAACTCGGGCTATGTAGCCGGTAAATACACTGCACTGAAACTGAGCTATACTGATACACTGTAAATACGCGACTGTCCGCGCGGAAGACTAAGCCTGCGACACGAAAAAAAATGATAATAATCGCAATACCTAGACTCGGCTACCACAGCTAACCCAGTTAACCCTGTTTTCAAACCTGTTTAGTTGTTTATTAATGTACTTACTGTAATTGGGAAACTATAGCTCTCGCGATGCCGGTGCAAGCTCTTGCCACGCAAAAGCGTAGGTTCGATTCCTGCCGGAGGACCTATAGTTGACTCATTTTTGCATCAACTGTTTCTGGCTTGAAGTTGAAGTGTGTATAATTCCGCTCGAAATTAAGACCCTTTCAACCTCTGGAATTTACTTACATCGAGTGAAGTGCCAAAAATCATAATTGATTTACCCTCATAAATTTTATGCAATATTGTTTGGTACTGCATGTAAGACGCCTTTGAGTCTTTAAGTCACAAGTATGCTGTTGCTTGGAAAGAAGGTCTTTTTATAAAAAGACAAAGCGAAAATCAGACGCTTTGAATATGCTATTATAAAATTAAATACCCTTGTTGGTTTGAAACCCTAACTTTGTTATTGTTATCGTATGTCGTTAATTTCCGTTTTGTTACTTCCTGCGACTACACGCGCAGCTGCACATAGTTTAATGTTTCATTGTATATCACTGTCAACTAGAGTATGGTCACTCTACTCTACAATTGGTTATTTACGTTTATGTTCGAACTCTATCGACGGTATTCATCAGCAGTTTGGTGTGTGCGCCAACTAAAGTAAGACTCTATCTTTGTGTTATTATAGTTTGTAAACATATGTAGCTACGTTAGTTGACTTATTCGTATTTAGTGCATGCCTGTTATAGTATTTAATTTGCCTAGATTGCATGACTTAGTGCGGTTTAATTCTTGTATTTTTAGTTCGAACGTTACCCACTATAATTCTATTCCGCGATCACTCTATTCAATATTCCGTTACCGGATTGATCAGTTACCATATACCTTCAACCGCACAGTATTATAAACTTTATCATTAAAGATACATTTTATAACCATTATCCGCGCACGTGTTATCCTATCATCGTGGTTAGCGAATTTAGTGGAGTTCAATTTGTGGCGTTAACGGCACACCAAAGCAGCGTAGCTCTTAGAAGAATTTGGGAGTTACATTAGTTCGAATTTAGTTCGAATTCTACTCGTTTGCATCGTCAGAATCAACGCTCTATTGTGCTTCAACAGTAATAGTATCCCGCTAGCCTTGTGTGCGGCGCGTTGTAAACTGGTTCAAATCTCATCACGGCGCGGCGATAAACGCGACCTCGGCCAATAAACATTGTCTATCGCGAACCTTCAACTCGCAATGGAACAATCTATAGCAATCGACGACCTAAAGAAGGCTCGTAGCAGCGCAAAGGCCAACGTAACGCGCAAAGTGAATCGGATTTCGGAGTCGATGCTTTCAAGCGACAGTGTTGACGTTGTCAAGGAAATGTCAATAGAATTACAACATGCTACAAGCGAATTTAAGGCTGCTCATGAGGCATACAACAAACAATTAACGAATGAAGACGATTTGGATCAGTCTGCCAGCTATTTTCATACCGTGTTAGAACAAGTGCGCGCCATAGAAACACAAATGCAATCGTGGCTCAAACAACAATGCATTGACGTAATCGTACATCCGGAAGACTCAGCTAGCAACGTGGCATCGTATACCTCCTCGCGCGCTAAGTCTAAGACCAGCTCGACAAGAAGCTCAGCAAGCGCGAAAGCAAGAGCGGCAGCCAAGATAGCAGCGCTTGAAGCTAAAGCTGCGTCTATCCAAGAAAGGCAAGAGCTCGAACTCGAAGAGCTTAAACTAAATCAAAGAAAAGCCAAACTCGAACTTAGGACTGAGTTAGTGGTCGCTGAAGCTGAACAAAGAGCCTACGAAGAAAGCGAAATCGAGGAAATACGCAGTCGTAACGGCAAAAGTGTTTTGCATAGTTCGCCACCGGTCCAGCGCAAGTTAAATCTCACCGACCAACGACTCGAGAATGCCCCAAAGGTTTCTTCAAGTCCCGAAGCTAAGCCCGCTGCCGTAGACATGTCTGCACGTCAAACACTCAACCCTGAAGCCCCCGAATGGCGCGCTGTAACGCCGCAGGGCTACGAACGCTCGTACGTCAACGACCTTTCTCAATCGGATAAGTTTCGCGAGGAATCGTTCCAAGCGCTAATGACAACGCAAGAACGTCAGAATGGGGTGCTACAGCAGCTAGTCCAACAGCAACAAGAAAGCGTAATGGCGCTCACCTTACCACGACCCAGTTTACAGACGTTTAACGGCGATCCCCTAGGTTACTGCGACTTTGTGCGTGCGTTTGAACATCTGGTAGAGCGCAAGGCAAACGACCCCAGCGCAAGACTCTACCTTTTAGTGCAGCACACTTCCGGAAGCGTGCAGGAATTGATGCGAAGTTGTCTGTCCATGCAGCCAGAGGAGGGATATAGAGAAGCGCGACGCTTGCTTAAGGAGCGATACGGTCAGAAATACAAGATCGCCGCCGCGCACGTACAGAAACTCATCAACGGGGCCCCCATCAGAACAGAGGACGGCGAGGAGCTGCAGAGATTCTCCATCCAGCTGGTGAGTTGCACCAACACATTGAAGGAAATTGGTTACATAGGGAAACTGGACAATCCAGAAAACCTAAAGAAAATCGTCGATCGCCTGCCGTACCCACTTCGCGCGAAATGGCGAGACGCGGTGGACCGTATTGTGGAAAAAGAAGAAAGAGACGTGACAGTCAAGGACCTAACAGATTTCGTGACGATGAAGGCCAGAGCAGCCAGCCATCCTGTGTTCGGTAAACTTGAAAGAGCGTCAGACAAAATCACCGGCCCAGGAAATCAACGACCACGCCGTAGTGCCAACGGTTTCGCAACGCAAGGGGGCGAGCAAACCTCGACCGAAGCCAGAGAAAAGTGGTGCCCACTGTGTAAGATGGCCCACTGGCTGTCACGCTGCGAAAAGTTCCGGAAGCAATCGTTGGCCGAAAGAAGACAAGTAGTCAGAAACAGCAAACTGTGTCTCAACTGTCTACTGCCAGGACATTTTGTTAATGCGTGTCCCAAACCCAGTTACTGCAAGGTGCCAGAATGTGAAACAAAGCACTCGACGTTTCTGCATCCGAGGTCCGAGAAGACGCCCGAACACGATGCTGATGCAACACCCCCTGTAGACGTAGAAACCAGTCAAGAGAGCGTAGCCAACGGAAACAGTACGCCAGCAGACGAAACCCCTACACAAGCCGATAGTTTGTACGTTCGAATGTCGACCAAACCCAACGCGCCAAGATACGATTCTGTGACAGCGCTGGCCATCGTTCCTGTTCGCGTCAAGGCATCTGGCCATGGTGCATCTAAGACGGTGGAAACGTATGCATTCTTGGATTCGGGCTCGAATACATCATTCTGCACCGAAGCCCTGCTCGACCAACTCGACCTTCAAGGCCGCAAGACGAGTCTGTCGCTGACGACGATACAAGGTAAAAACTCGCTCGTGCAGTGCTCCCAGGTGAGTCTTGAAGTGTCTTCACTGGATTCAGCAGCACAGCCCGTTAATATGCCAGTGGTGTATTCACGACCATCTCTACCAATCTCCCGCGACGCCATCAGTAACCAGGAAGATGTAAACCGCTGGCCACATCTTGAAGGATTATCCTTGCCAGAGATCGACGCCGAAATCGGCCTGCTTATCGGAAGCGACGTCCCCGAAGCAATACAACCAATGGAAGTACGACAAAGTGAGAGCGGAGGACCTTTCGCGACTCGGACCATCCTAGGATGGGTACTCAATGCCCTCTTGGTAGAGGAAAGAACACGTCAGCTACGTCCAACTTTTTGCAGAGCACTGCTCGTCTTGAGCAGCAATTCCAGGACTATTGCAACTTGGAGTTCAACGACTCGTCCTACGATGCCAAACAGTCAATGTCGCAAAATGACAAGAGAGCGCTGGAAATCATGGAGGAAAGCGTCCAATTGAAGGAGGGTCATTACGAAATCGGGCTGCCATGGAAGAGTCATCCGCCGCAACTCAAAAACAACAGACCGGTAGCGGAAAGACGACTAAGTCTTTTGAAGAAGCGTCTTCAACGAGAACCAGAAGTACACGAGAAGTACAAGGGCTTCATGAACGATCTTATCAAGAATGATTACGCCAGCAAAGTCGAGAACCGCGAAGTCGACCAGTCAAGCATTCGGTGGTACCTGCCACATCACCCCGTGTTCCATCCTCAGAAACCCGACAAGGTGAGAGTGGTATTCGACTGCTCAGCCAAATATCACCAGACGTCTCTCAACGACCAGCTCTTACAGGGGCCGGACCTTACCAACTCGCTTGTTGGCGTCTTGACAAGATTTCGCGAGGAGCGCGTGGCTATGATGTCGGATGTCGAGGCCATGTTCTACCAAGTCCGTGTCCCTTCTGAAGATCGTAAGGCTCTGAAATTCCTGTGGTGGCCGGACGGCGACCTGGATCAACCAGTGCAGGAGTACGAAATGAACGTACACCTATTCGGAGGTGCCTCATCGCCCAGCTGCGCAAACTTTGCCCTGCGGAGAACCGCCCAAGATAACAAGGCCGAATTCGACCCAGAAACAACCGAAACTGTCGAAAGAAATTTCTACGTTGATGACTGCTTGAAGTCCATTCCAACAGATCCGGAAGCGGTGAGATTGGCAAACCAACTGCGGGAATTGTTGGCAAGGGGAGGATTCAGATTAACGAAGTGGACGTCCAACTCTAAAGCCGTGCTGGAGTCATTACCAGAATCAGAAAGATCGGAGCAAGTCAAGGACATGAACTTGGACAAATCTCCTATTCAGAGAGCCCTGGGTGTTCGCTGGAACGTATCATCAGACAAATTCGGTTTCAGTATTGTAGTGAAAGACCGTCCCGCAACCAGACGAGGCATTTTGTCGGTGGTCAGTTCCGTTTTCGATCCGCTGGGATTTGTCGCTCCGTTTGTCCTTAAGGCGAAACAAATCCTGCAGGACTTATGCCGCTTGAAGCTCCGTTGGGACGACCCAATCCCGGACGAACACCTGGCCCGCTGGCAATCGTGGTTGAAGGAACTGCCGAAGCTCGAGGATGTGCAAATAGATCGGTGTCTCAAGCCTACCAATGACGCCAAGATCAGTTCGTTCCAACTGCATCATTTCTCTGATGCGTCGCAAGATGGCTATGGAGCCGCCACCTACCTACGTGTAGAAGATGAAGCCGGCAATATCAAGTGTTCGTTTGTAATGGGGAAGTCCCGTTTAGCGCCAATCAAACAAGTTACGATACCTCGTCTGGAGCTTTCAGCAGCTGTTACAGCCACGAGACTGGAGAAGATCTGTCGGGGAGAACTCACGCTCGAAGTGAACGACACGTTCTTCTGGACCGACAGCACGTGTGTCCTACGCTACCTACAGAACAAAGATAAACGATTTCAGACCTTCGTTTCCAATAGAATTTCTACGATACTTGATGCATCTTCTACTTTCCAGTGGCATTACGTCAACACCCTTGCCAATCCAGCCGACGACGCATCTCGTGGCGTGCCAGCGACACAACTCCAGCGATGGATACAGGGGCCGGATTTCCTGAGCAAGCCAAGGGCCGCTTGGCCACAGCCACCCAGTGATCTGAGCTTGGTCATTGGAGACAACGACCCCGAGGTCAAGCGACAATCCGCCACGTACACGAACAAAATTTCTAATCTACATCCACTTGCAGAGTTAGTCAAGCATTTCTCTTCTTGGAGTCGGCTGAAAAAGGTCCTAGCGCTGGTTTTGCGCTACCAGGCGATCCTGAAACGTCGCGTCATCCAGAAGAAGTTAAATCCTGCTGAAGCGATCGGGTTTTCAACGTCCATCACGCCTATTTCCGTGTCCGAAATGGTCAACGCTGAGAAGGAAATAATTCGACATGTGCAGCAAGAATGTTTCAGCGAAGAACGAGAATGCCTAGAAAGAATAAACCAAAGTAGCGATAAAGATCGCAAGAACGTAACGGTTAAGAAATCGAGCCGCGTGTTCCAGCTGGATCCAGTATTAAAGAATGGGTTGGTACGTGTCGGCGGAAGACTGCGGAGAGCACCAATAAACGACAACGCTAAACACCCTATCATCCTCCCGAAAGACCACCATGTTATTGGACTCCTTGTAAACCATTACCACCACATCGCGGGTCATTCCGGCGTCGAGCACACGCTTTCCCTCATCAGAGAAAGGTATTGGATCGTAGACGGAAGATCAGCCGTGAAGAAGGTCATCGGCAAGTGCCTCAGCTGTAAGAAACGTCAGTCAACAGTATGCAATCAAAAGATGGCCGACCTGCCAGAAGACCGGGTAACGCCCTCGCTGCCACCGTTTACGTATACAGGCGTCGACTGCTTCGGACCGTTCGAAGTAAAACGTGCGAGAAGTCGTGTCAAGCGGTACGGAGTGCTCTTCACTTGTATGACAACACGAGCGATCCATCTAGAAGTGGCCCACACGTTGGACACCGACTCTTTCATTGATGCTCTCCGACGATTCGTGGCAAGGCGAGGTCAACCTATGGAGATCCGCTCGGACAACGGAGGAAACTTCGTCAAGGGTGAACGAGTGCTAAGACAAGCCATTGACGAATGGAATCAAGAACAGATCCACGACTTCCTGCTTCAACGAAACAAGTGGACCTTCAACCCACCCGCTGGATCTCACTTTGGTGGAGTGTGGGAGAGGTGCATAAGAACCGTAAGGAAGGTCATGAAGGCGCTGATGACGGAACAAGTGCTTCACGACGAGAGCCTCAACACGTTGTTCTGCGAGGTAGAGTCCGTGGTGAACAGCAGACCGATCACGAAGCTGTCAGATGATCCACGGGACGAAGAACCACTCACCCCAAACCACTTGCTTCTATTACGTCACCAACCCGCCCTTCCACCCGGTGTTTTTGGAAAGGAAGAAATCAGAACCGAAGGAGATGGCGTCAAGTGCAATATCTGTGCAACCTGTTCTGGAGACGTTGGGTAAGGGAGTATCTCCCCTTGCTGCAGAAAAGACAAAAGTGGAACGCTTCGAAGAGGAACGTGGCAGTCAACGACATCGTTATGGTGCTAGACGACAGCAAACCAAGAGGAGTATGGCCCTTAGCTCGGGTGTTGGAAGTGTACCGCAACAAGCGTGACGGACTGGTACGATCCGTGAAACTGAAGACAAGCAGCAACGAGTTGGTGAGGCCTGTAGACAAGATCGTCCTCCTAGAAGAAGCCGCCTGATGTTGGTATGAGATCGTGATAAACATTGTTATTAAACTAACGCTTTATTCATTTACTTATTTAGTTATTGACATTATTTCGTGTTTCAAACCATTTAAAAAAACGGTATTGTAAAGGCTCGTAGTACCGCCTTTAAGGGGCCGGTATGTTGGTTTGAAACCCTAACTTTGTTATTGTTATCGTATGTCGTTAATTTCCGTTTTGTTACTTCCTGCGACTACACGCGCAGCTGCACATAGTTTAATGTTTCATTGTATATCACTGTCAACTAGAGTATGGTCACTCTACTCTACAATTGGTTATTTACGTTTATGTTCGAACTCTATCGACGGTATTCATCAGCAGTTTGGTGTGTGCGCCAACTAAAGTAAGACTCTATCTTTGTGTTATTATATAGTTTGTAAACATATGTAGCTACGTTAGTTGACTTATTCGTATTTAGTGCATGCCTGTTATAGTATTTAATTTGCCTAGATTGCATGACTTAGTGCGGTTTAATTCTTGTATTTTTAGTTCGAACGTTACCCACTATATTCTATTCCGCGATCACTCTATTCAATATTCCGTTACCGGATTGATCAGTTACCATATACCTTCAACCGCACAGTATTATAAACTTTATCATTAAAGATACATTTTATAACCATTATCCGCGCACGTGTTATCCTATCATCGTGGTTAGCGAATTTAGTGGAGTTCAATTTGTGGCGTTAACGGCACACACAAAGCAGCGTAGCTCTTAGAAGAATTTGGGAGTTACAACCCTTACCGTGTTTATCTTTACGTGTTTTTATATTATTATTACAACCTATCATTTCAGGTGCAAAGACGCGATTAAGGCAAAACAGGCACCACGCAACGTCGTTCGACGTCGATATTCAAGGTTTTTGATACGAAATAGTACCTTCGTATTTGTGATTCACAAGGTAACGTTTTTCTTTTATAATTATCAAAGGTTAATGCGGTAGTTAACATTGGCATTTAATATAAGGCCTCGGCCTTCATGTACTCCCATTCGATCTTTCGTGTTATTACTACACGTATTACTTAAATATCATTAACTGTACTGCTTTGGTACATTTGCCATCGACTAGCATATATACTTTACAAAAACCAATCAAATATTCACCAGGATACGTCAAAATTAAATAACACTCTTACAGCTCTCTTGAGTGAGTCAACTTGAATGTTATGCACTGAATATGTAGTTGTAAACAGTATCTTCGTATTAGGGTTAAAAACATTTAGTTTGCTTCTTGAATATAAAACGATAGACTTGCTTTCTATTTTGAACTTAACCACCGCTTAAGCTAAACGGGATTTATCCACCGCGGTTAATATGATTAATTGAAATCAGGAAATAGTTGATTCTGGTTAGAAAATGAGCCGTTCAGAAAATACAAAAAGTCAAAATACGTGCAAAGGTATATTTTATGTACTATTCTTGGGTTTCATATGACCTCATACTTCACACAGTAAATTGGAGCGAGTTAATTGTACACTGTATGTGTTGGCTTTGCCCTTCGTAGAAAATATACACAATTTCATATCAATTAAGGTTGACCCCCTGCACTCAAATCACTATTGAAACGATACGTGAAAGCCACAAATTCTAACTTTTGTACAATATACAGTGCCAGTGGGGGCAAAAGTCAGTGGGAGTCCAGTCGATACTTTTTTTATAATTTACAATAACAACTTGTGAGTGGGAAATTAGATATGTTGATCTGAACTTGCGCGTTATACGACGGTAATGGCTCTCCTATGTTTTTTTCGTTAATTCGCATGGTATTTAAGTTGTGCATGAAATGCTAATGATCGAAGCCGTTCTAATGATTACCAGCAATCGGGTTTTCTGCGCAAAACAATACACATACACACGCGTTTTTTGTGGGAGAAGGGGTTTGAGGGAAGCACTCCTATGGGATGTAATTCTTTGTGGTCATTCTTTCATCCCAAAGACTCGTTCTTAAATGGCGTTTAAATCGTTGTCCTGGGGTTTATATTCTCCCCATTAGGACTCTGCAACTGAGCACCAGCGCATGATGTCATGTATGCGCACGCGCTACATACCATGAAAGAGGTAGCTAGCCTCTAAGACATCAACCTGACCAACCGCACACGCTAGTTGGACAGTAAACGATTCGACTGATCTATGATTACAATAACTTAATGCTGAGTCTATGGGCTTGAACGTGACAATCAGGAGCCCTTCCTCCCAAGCCCGAACATTTATTTTTATTTATACGATCACTAAAGCAACGTTATGACATATATTAATTTTAGACTATATAAGTGAAGGACTCACTATATCGCTGCGTTATTAACTCGTCTCTATAGATTACAGATAATGGTTGTAGACTGTCTATACTATAAGCGATATGTCAGCCAACACAGCACGAAGGAAAGTTAAGTTGAATGACGTTAGTCTTAAGTATGTTATGAGATCTGTAGCCTGATAAACTGTACTGAGGCAATAGTCGATAGACAGGTATAGTAACCGCCAACAGACGTTACGTGGCAAATGCCCCTGTTATGTTTGAGTGGTGGGAGGGTGGGAAAAATTTATTTTTTTTTTTTTTCGATTTGACGTAAATAATGCCTTTTAATTTTGCGAACTGTGTCTTTGAGCAAAGCGATTTCCCAAGTGAGAAGATTGAGCTTGTGCATGCTGCTTATGCGCGACCCTCTGAAATGTTATTGGTTGTTTTTACGCGCCAAATGGAAAAGGAGTTTAATTGGTTGGATTGAGCAGGTCAAATGATGTTCGCGTGTCATGCAATATTGGATCTACTAATGCATTGGAGCGCCGGTTTGACGCATGTCTGACATGCCACCCGCAAACATATGTTTTTTGCCAAAGCCGAAGACACACCTGGATATGAACGTTTCCTCATTAACTTTATTTTAATATTGATATACTAAAATGGCTTTAATGATCGAAGCCGTTCTAATGATTACCAGCAAGCGGCTTTTCTGCACAAAACAATACACATACACACGCGTTTTTTGTGGGAGAAGGGTTTTGGGGAAGCACTCCTATAGAATGTAATTCTTTGGGTCATTCTTTCATCCCAAAGACTCGTTCTTAAATGGCGTTTAAATCGTTGTTCTGGGGTTTATATTCTCCCCATTAGGACTCTGCAACTGCGCACCAGCGCATGATGTCATGTATGCACACACGCTACATACCATGAAAGAGGTAGCTAGCCTCTAAGACATCAACGTGACCAACCGCACACGCTAGTTGGACAGTAAACGATTCGACTGATCTATGATTACAATAACTCAATGCTGAGTCTATGGGCTTGAACGTGACAATCAGGAGCGCTTCCTTCCACAAACACAGAATGTGTATCCCCATAGACGAAGGAGCCCTCCGCCTAAAATAGGAAATCAATATTTTGAAATATTGGCCAGTGTGGCTGATACGCTTGAGAGCATTGAGGTAGGTGTTTGAATGTAACGTTCAAAACCATCAGAAGACCAGCGTCCTAACGTTTTGACCAGCATATTCCGTGGCGTTGAGACCAACTTTCTGTAACAACGTTCGAGTCTGGGCGGTTAACGTTTTTTCGTGGGCGGTTTGCCTGATGCATGAATAAAGAGAGGGCCGGTGGTTTTTGGTCGCCGTACTAAATAGTGCTTCATGGCCGAAACGGGGCAAAGCGCGGTCCCTGTGGCCCCAACGGTTATCGTGTGACCTACGCGAAAGGGGTCTGTTTTGGATTCTTTAAGGTGAACTGTGATATAATCAGGCTGGGCCATTGCTGTACCTTTGGGAAATGCGATATTATCTTTCGTGAGGTGTATACTGGAGTTAAATTTCGAATTTGTTGTTAGCTCCCCCAAGCGGAGAAAGCCAAAAAATGCCAGAGTCATAGCTGCCCAGATCATAACGGAATCATAGTTTGTAGTGTTAGGGACAGCAAGCAACGTGCGGAAGAGTTCTAAGTGATGAATGGTGATCGGTAAGCGAACTCGAACTTTATCCCCCTGTCATCGCTTTATACCCCGTAGTACTAGTTGCAGCCGCACCATTTTTTGCAAATTCAGAGTATGACCGTGGCGAACAAGTGGCGGACGGCCGCCAAATATGTTTGATCGATGTGTACTTGATAGTTCTGGCCAAATATGCAACGTATTCTGTCAAAAGGGATTCATTGGCAGGGAGACAATGTCGATCTTTGTCGCCTAAACCAATTTACAAAGTGCTTAAACTTTTTTCGCCTGCGCTGTAGGTCTGCTTAGTGTTGTTGCAACGGAAAGATTTATATAGCGTTGAATATCATCCTTTAAAAATTGCCAGCATATTCGGGGACCAAACATGGGTTGATATCCGCTTGCGGGCCAGTTGACGGAATCGCTGAAGCTGAAAAACGAGAAATATTATTTCGTTCCGTTTTCCACAAATGTGCGTTGCCCGAATGTACATATTATATCGCAGGGTAAGAAGAGTTAAGTGACGAAGCAGATCCATGACCCGAGGGATTTTGGAACGTTTGGTGTTAATCATGTTGACGACTGCCTCATTATCGCATCTAAATTTAATGCGTTGATCGCGCAGTAGGGGCCCCCAAATTTGACATGCAACGACGATAGCAAAAAGTTCTTGCCATGCAATGCTTATACCGGGAACTCCTAGTTATTGGTGAGCATGCCATGTACCCTGGAACCATTTGGTCCCAAGTATGTATAGGTATAAGCCGAAAAGCAGATTCGATATCGGTTTTTGCAAGAAAGCAACATTGCCCA